TCTTGGCTATCTTTGATCATGAGCCTACATTTTAATTTGGAAAACAAAGACTTGAAAATATATTAGGAGCAAACATTTGGGATACCCTTGGATTTATTTTATATTATAACATCTAAAGCATTAGCTGAAAAAGTAAATATGCCACTAGACCTTTTAACTTTTCATGCAATTTAATCCCTTTATCTCTACCTTGTTTCTAGTTCTCTTGATATTCTTCCTGGCAACCTACGGACTAGCACTATGTTTATGGCTTGATGAATGTTTGTGGTGTTGTCATGTACACAGAAGACTTGACCGTTCTCCTTTGTGTCTTTTAGGACTGTTCTTTATAAAGCCTAACCTAGAACTTGTACTATTTTATAAGACATTATGGATTTGTTCTTGTTCTCTTGAGGATTAGGCTGTATCTAGTTCTCTTTGGAGGAATAGTGCCAAGCCTAGGAAGCAGCACATATTTGTTGACAAATTAATATTTGTGCCATGATAAATATGCAACCCCAGGAACTCTGTAGCAAATGCTGTCTTTAAATTTCTTTAATACCAGAACTTACTTAAAAGATGACCAATTGATTTTTGGAAACCCAGAGTACCTATGGTGTGCAATTTATGAACATGTCTTAAATTCTTTTTTAGTCATATTTAACTGCTTCATATTAGGCATATTAGGTCTTCATTTTTTGGGGGGTCCTTGAGGGAAGTATTTGCATATAGTATGTGTATGCATTTCTCACAGTACTTAGAACAATACCTGCTGTGTACATATTTTTTGAAATTATTATAATGTAACTATTTGGAGAGAGTATTTGATACTACATTTGACTCTTGCTTCCCAAGTGTTTTTTTGTATTTAGAGCATCTGAACTGACTTTGCTCAATGCACTGGTGAGATATCTTTGTGGGCTAAGGCAGAAATAATTCAGAAATCCCTTTCGAAACAGGTGATCTCCTAACTCCTCTGTTTAGAAGTTGTGTGCTATTATATGGGCATAAGGACAGGGGAGCTATCACTTTGAGCCTCTGGGAATGTAGGTAAACTCTCAGTGGCTTCTATATCGAAAGACATAGAGACCAAAGGCCAGACATTGAGCTGTGCCTATAGCATCGTAGCCCATTCCCCTTCTCTTGTGAAAACAGTTACGTAAATTACCTGCTCAGATAGGTGACTGATAAGAATAGGTGGTGGGTCACGTGGTGGCTGGGCCGGGGAAATGGCAGCTTCAGGAGAGAGCGGGACTTCGGGCAGCGGAGGCAGCACGGAGGAAGCCTTTATGACCTTCTACAGTGAGGTGAAACAAATAGAGAAAAGAGACTCGGTTCTAGTATCGAAAAATCAGATTGAAATACTGACCCGTCCTGGTTCCTCTTACTTCAATTTGAACCCATTTGAGGTTCTTCAGATAGATCCTGAAGTTACAGATGAGGAAATAAAAAAGAGGTTTCGGCAGTTATCCATCTTGGTGCATCCTGACAAAAATCAAGATGATGCTGACAGAGCACAAAAGGCTTTTGAAGCTGTGGACAAAGCTTACAAGTTGCTACTGGATCAGGAGCAAAAGAAGAGGGCCCTGGATGTAATTCAGGCAGGAAAAGAATACGTGGAACACACTGTGAAAGAGCGAAAAAAACAGTTAAAGAAGGAAGGAAAACCTACAATTGTAGAGGAGGATGATCCTGAACTGTTCAAACAAGCTGTATATAAACAGACAATGAAACTCTTTGCTGAGCTGGAAATTAAAAGGAAAGAGAGAGAAGCCAAAGAGATGCATGAAAGGAAACGACAAAGGGAAGAAGAGATTGAAGCTCAAGAAAAAGCCAAATGGGAAAGAGAGTGGCAGAAAAACTTTGAGGAAAGTCGAGATGGTCGTATGGACAGCTGGCGAAACTTCCAAGCCAATACAAAGGGGAAGAAAGAGAAGAAAAATCGGACCTTCCTGAGACCACCAAAAGTAAAAATGGAGCAGCGTGAGTGACCACCCAGGTCACAGGCACAGAACCTTCCCCCTGCTATCTCCCTTCCTGCTTCGAAGGACTCATTCTTTCCTCCCACTTCCACCCCAACATAGAGTAGAATTTGCTTTTTAGTCCATTTTGTTTTCAATACAATTTAATATTGATCAGAGTAATTCTTTTGTACATTGAAATGAGGAGCTTGGTTTAAAAAAAGACCTTCCCCTCTCCCTGCCCCTAGAACAACCAGGACTGGAAGGTGCCACCATTGGTGCTGCCTTCTCTTCCCACAGCCTGTAACTCAGCGTTTTGTACTTCACTGAATTGTGATGGTTAGAAACTTCGTGGATAGTTTGTGGAAATCATCCGATTAAACATATTGCTTAAAATGGTGTTGCTGTGACTTCAGAGACAAGCCTGGAAGGGGCACCTTAGGAAGTCCCTTTGCTTCAGTTGCTCGCTTCTGGGTGTGCTCCCTTCGAAGGCCCAGATGAGACAGGGAACACTTGTCGGCACACAGAGTGGCATCTGATGCCCTGATGCCCTGCAGTGTTTGGCATGTGCCCCCGTCTACTGACCAATCAGTGTGGCATGAGGTCCACGCCACCCAAACCTTTCACTTTCCAAAGAGCTAGCCGTCCTCCACCCAGTACCATGTCCTAGCCTGTCTGCATTTGTTAGTGGTAATATTCTTTATGTATAACAAATTTTTATACCCCCCCCCCAAAAAAAAAGAATAGGTGGTGGAAGTATTGTCATTGCTTCTCTACTAAGTGTACGATTTTTTAAAAGACTTCTCTTAAATTCTTAAATTATTTATCTGAATATGTTGGAAAGAGTGCAAGTACAGCAATTGGTCTTGGGTTCAAAATCAACTTGCATAATTTTCTGCTTACAAGAATTTAAGAAATATCCTTAATTAGATGGTTTTGATTTTCCTCTTTTCAAACTTAGACAAGGTTGCATACTTCTTTGGTTCTTTGAGTATCAAACAAGACCATGTCTTTAAAGTGTTTATTAGCTAATAAATATTTTATTTATTAGTTGACACTTTATTTAATATTAAATACTTTATTTCCCTAATGCTGCCTCCTTAATATTCAGTAAGATAAATTGTTATATCTAGAAATCAGGATCATTAACACATTCCAAAGCTTCCATAAAACATGGACATTTTAAAGACTGAAGGGCACAATTACGTGTTTGATTTTGTACTGTCCATCACACCTGCAAACTGGAAAAATAATCCCAATGATATGTATGGCATTGGCAGCTTACATATTAATAAAGAGGATAAAGATTCTTTGACATCTGTAGAGTAACAAGAAACACAGGGAGGTGACTTATATTATCAGCAAGAGGAAAAATAAACTGGATGGTTTGAAAATATGCAATGTAGTGGGAGGATTACAATAGCAATGAGGGAAGAATCCATCGGAAATTAAAACTCCAAACTTGAATAAACTTTAACTTAGCCATGTAATTAGACAGAAAATAATTTAATCACTATTTTCTTTTCATAATTTCACAGTGGTTGGATGAAAGTATATCAGCAAATATAAAGCTGTGTGTCACAGTCATTCAGTTGACTGTGTGACTTTTGAATGAAGACATTCAAAATAAAATATCTTCAATATGTATGTCATGGGACTGTCTTATCAGTAAGATAACCAACTGTCAATATTATTTTTGTCCTTCTTTAGAAACAGCTAAAACATAGACCTCAGTTTACTGAATTGTATACAAGAATGAATGGTACTTGAATACATTTTTGTTGAGAATGACATGACCACTGACAGTATTTTTGCTTTCCTTAGAGGAATAAATTGTTAAGACTTAGAAGCAGGAAATGAAATTTAAAAACCACTCAATTGTCCATCAAATGAAAATACTTAGAAATTAAGGAGTAGTTTTAGATTAAACTTCTTGAAGAGGTCTAAATTTAAACACCGGGAGCTATTTTATACATTATTTCTAAATAATTTAAATTAAGGATTTTTTAAATGGAAAATCTACATGACATTATAAAGACAGAATGCTGCAGGATAGATGTTCTTAATACCCAGGGAGTTCTGTTCCAGTCTGTATCCTTTAATAAAAGATATAGACTTACAGAAATATAATTCATGGGTTATATTTAGGGGGGAACAGATGTTTGGATTCTGCAAAGTGAAACTTGTGGCCTTCATTTGAAATGATTTTCAATGAAGATACAATGTAAGTCCTGTTGAATGATATCTCTGTTCCTGTTGTCTAAAGCAAGAAGATTAAAACAGTTTAAAAACATGCATCATAATTCTACCATTTGAGGAGAAATAAAGGCTTATACCTGATTAATTTTGAAATCATCCAGAAGAACAAATGATCATATTTATTTTTAACTGGAATTGTGTAATGCTTTTATAAACCCGCATTAACACAGATACTAATTTGGAATTTGATCATTGGGAAATCAGCAGTATGTATACCATTTGCTAGGCAATTTAAAGATGATTGGCATTTAATTTGGCTAGAAATAAGGGCTAAAGCAGTATTTTTGGAGACTATTTATTAAGCAGTCTTTATCAAATTATTGTTGACATCATATTATGGCAGAGTATTCATTGTTCAGTAGTAGATGTGCTCAGATACTGAAAATCACGTAGAGAAATTAGGATAGGCATTTGGGACAAGAGGAGATCAACTCCAACTGGGATGGAGATCAGGTAAAAGGGAGTTCTGTGAAGGAACTGGAATTTATTCGACTGTTGAAGTAATATCAGGCAATGTAGAGGTTGAGTTTGGGTTTAGGAAAAGGAAATCCCAGTTGTCATTTTGGGGTGAGGGATGGCAAAGATGATGACTCTGAAAAAGGGTCTTTTAAATTTAGCTTGGGACTTTGTATGTGAAAAATGCAAGATACCGAATTGGGACATACTTAAGAGGATTTTAATGGTTACATTTCATTTTGCAAGCAATAGGAAATTCTAGTGGATATAAATAGGAGGCAATTTACTAGGGCAGATAGAAACTGGAAAATTACAAAACATAATGATATAAGAACTCCATCCAGGATGATGACAATGGAACAAAATGAAAAGCTGAATTTGAAAACTTGTATTAGGGGAGATATAGAGCTGGGCAGGTAATCAAATGCCAGAGCTGGGCAGAGAGAGGAGTCAGGGACAATTCTGAAGTTTTATGCATAGTGGGTGGATGAAAGAAAAAAAGCTATATTATAATGAACAGAAATAAAAATATCAGGTGAATTATTTTGAGACTAAAAGATTAATTAGTCTAAATTTAAGTCTAGTGGGATGACTATTCTATCGGGAAATTTGGAAGCCACTAACTATACAATGCCTAACTTCATCATAGAGGTTAAAGCCAGTGATCGATTTGAGAACCATTTACATTAACATATTAGTTAAACATGTGCAAGTTGGTGAACATGAAGGAGAGAGTGAATAGAAGGAAGAAGTTAAGTAGAATTGCGTCATGTAGAATGCCCACATTGTTAATGTGTAGGAGTCAGATAAGAATTGAGAAAAATGAGTTTATGCTAATACAGAAATATGAGTGAGGAATTATTATAATGTAGAATCATAGAAATCAAAAATTTGAGAGAGTTTCAAGTAGGAGAGGTGAGCAGCTATAGTTGTAAAATTCCACAAAGAAGAGTATGTGAAGCAATATAAGATTTTTAATATTGACAAAAGATTAACACACAATAAAAAATACAGTTTCAGGAGAAGGGGGAAATAGACAAAACATGTTTACTTTTGCTTGGATTGGTAGACAACTTAATACTTTCATAGGTTTTAAATTTCTATTTCATTAGCTTAATTTAATAAACCATTTTCATGAGTAACTAAAACAATGCACCACCCACACATCTCATGTTCTCATTGGATAAATTGCTAGTTTATTGGAAGGCATCTAAATGCCTTTAGATATAGTCTAACATTTTTTATTCATAACTTAGGCTGAACTTTCCCTTAAATACGATCATTTTGCAAGGGTTTACTATGTTAAGAAAGTGAGCATATTTCCATTCCAAATTGCCTATGTTTGAGTTGTCTGTATTTTTAAAATATATTTCCTTCCCTCCCTCCATGGATAATAAATCTGTCCTTGTGAGACATCAAGGCATTAGACCAAGTAGCAGACCTGGCCAATGAAACTTTTTTGCAAAGTTTCTAAATACCTATCTTTTACAAAATATCTATCCCAGTGTGAATCTTAGTATTAAGAGGACTGGGAAGAGGACCTTGCATTTAAGAGAAGGTACTTTATGGTAGTTTTCAAAACATGTGTACCCAATCATCAGGCTATTAGATTTTAAACATTGAATCAGTTTTAAATAAAATTTGGGACATTATTTTGAGGACTATTGTTGTTATAAAAATTAAATCCAGCTGGGTATTTATTTGCTTATTTATTTATTTATGCAGATTGATAAATAAGTTGTTACAAACATGTACTCAATTCATGTTTCATATTTATAAAATAATTGATATCAAGAGGCATTCTTCTAAATACAATGGTCCAAACTGTTTTACTGCAGCTAATGATGTTTATTAATCTCTCAGAGTACCACTAATTTTCAAACCCATGACAGTTCACAGAAGCAGCACACTATGGCTGTATATCAGCCAAAGAAGTGCTATATTTCATGAGAAGTTATCAAAAGTGTTTATCTTTTGGGAATTCTATTTCTTTCTTTTAGAAGTGAATCTTAAGTGTGAGTTGATGGGACAGGTTTATGACATCATTTGACTTTGACTGTAGATAAAATAGGAGCATCTGTAAATCTGGTACCATGTCAGGAAATTAACTGGAAATCTTTTTATTCGATTCTGCTTAATGACAAATATTTATTTCTCCATAGAGAAGGGAGAAAAGAATTTTTCATTCAATATTTAGAGAGAATATTGTAAATACAAGCACCTCTAGTAGTAGTAAAATATGGCGATTATTTAAATCTCATTAAAGCTTTAGGTTAGAAATGTCTGACATCAGGCTGTTTCAAGTAGAGCAGATAACGTAAGCAACGGGGGCTGGGGAACCTTAAGAAGAGTGGGAAGTTCTTGTTAGGAAAAAGGAGGAGTTCTCCTTATCACAAGCCTTAGAGGGTTGCATGTGGGTAGAGAAAAAAATGTATGACTGAATTTGAAATTCTTCTTGATTTAATATCATGGACTAATCTTTACAATGCCACTTTCTCTCTTCTAAAAATCTGTAGGGAGTGTATCACTCTACATAAAAAATAAGTGGCCTATGAAAATTATTTTATTAGTAGTTAATATTATACGTATGAGTGATAATATATTATTTTATTTAGCTTATTTTGTATATTTCCAGTAAAAAAGGTAAAATAGTTACCTAGATTATGACTTTGCTGTACTTATCATTAGTTTTCCAGTGAGTGTCCTCTCTGCTTTGCTGGTATTTCAGAGAAAGGAAGTTTCTACATAACAGTTTCTTTCTCCACCCCCTTCAGTTGATGGGGATTTATTATAAGGAAGGAGAAATAAGTAAAGAGTCATATCATTGTTGATGTCAGGCTTTGCGGAGAACTGGCACCTTATTCAGGATACCACAGAGATTCCAGTGTAAGATAGAGCTCTGAAGCTATCATTTTTGGGTCGTGGCTTCTCTTCATACAGGTTCTATATGCTACACTTTGCATACACTATTTCTTGTAGTCCTCACACAGAGTAACTCTAAGGGTAGTAGAAAAAATGGAAGTTTATGGCAACTAAATATCTTGCTCCAAATCATCCAGTTCGTGAAGCTAGGATTTTAACTCTGGTCTGCCCTCAAAGTCCAACCAAGTTCTTTTACAAATATCTGGGACAGGATGAACATGTAGAGGACTATGTGCTCACAAACCAGACGTTCTCAGTAAGTCCTGCTCTTGCAAACGAAGCAGGGCGTTCCCGATAAGTCCTGCTCTTGCAAATGAAGCAGGGCCTTCCTTCCCTGCAAACAGGGAGGACAAAGGAGCCAGCTGCAAACAGCAGACCCTGGGGGCTTGTTTATGTGTAAACATCTTGAAAATCCAGAAAGTCAGGGAAAGGTCAGAAAAAAAAATGTGTCTTATGACTTGGCAACATTCCACAAATGACTGTATAAAATAAAGGAGAGTGCGCCATTCGGGGCGGCTGCCATGTTTGTCTTGTCTTGTGGTGTCTTGTGTGTTCATTCCTTTGTTTAGGAAACACGCGGACCCCAACAGAACAGAAGTAGATAGATTATATGATATGTAAAATTGTCTCAAATACACAACTCTTTTTTTTTTTTTTAGATATCTAACCTAAGAGCATATTTCTAACCTGTTTCCTATTTTATTTATTTTAATGTATTCTGTAGTAAAAATGAAAATCCTCAATAAGTAAAATCCAGATCTATATGCAGGACAAATTAGGAAATCATTGTTTACTTTGTTAATGGCTCTTTGGCTTATTATAAAAAGTTTTCTTTAAATATCCCCCATTAAAGTGTATGTTTTCATTAAAAATCCAATTAATAAATATTCTTAATTTGCTGTCTTAGATGCTATCTTATAGCAGAAAATAAATAGAAGAGAATAAACAGTTTTGAATTTTAAATAACTTAAATCAGTAATGATGGAAAAAACACATACGAATAAAAAATAAATTAGGAAGCATGTTGAAAATATATGCTGCTCTGGAGGTTGTAAAAAAAAAAAACTAACAAATGAGGGGAAAGAAGGATGAATAAAAAAAGCACATGTGATTTTTAGGGCAGTGAAACTACTCATATGTATACATGTCACTATGTATTTGCCCAAACCATAGAATGTACACCAACAGTGAATCCTAACATAAACTGTGGGCTCTGGGTGATAATGAGGTATCAGTGTAAGTTCATCATTTGTAACAATTTTTTTTTTATGGTGGGGGATGTTGATATTGGGGAGGGACTATACATGTCTAGGGGCAGGGGCTATATGAGAAATCTCTGTACACTCAGCTCAAGTTTTCCATGAACCTAAAACTATTCTGAAAATAAAGTCTACTAAAACAAAAATAATAATAATAAAAAAACTCACAAAAAATCTAAGAAACTCATTGCCAGAATGGGATTTGAGGGAGAAGTAGAATGCTGTTAGGTAGAAAAATAGCTGGGATGGAAGTAATCATATCTCCTGTATGTGTACCCAGATAGGCATGAGGGCAAAGCATGAGCAAGTGCTCTCTTGCCTGAGATATGGGATGTTTGTCCTCAATTGTTAAAAGAGGGGGCTGGAAAGGCAGGAGGAGGCGATATCACGGAGTGCTTTGACAAACAGACTAAGTTGTTTTCATTTAATTGAGAGAGTCATTGCTGTTTGTTGACCTAGCAAATTGATTGTTAGGTAAGTTGCTTCGGGAGTGGTGAGACTTGATTAGAAAGAATAGACAGGAGACTCATGAGGAATTTTAAGTGAAAGGTGGCTCTGCCCAGACCTGAGAAATAATAATGGGAATGGAAGGAGGGGAGAGATAGGAAAGATGATATGGTAATAAAATGTGCAATACATAGAAACTGAGAGTTAAGGAAAAGAAGGAGCTTGGGTATCTTAGACAAATTTTGAGAGTAAAGAGCTAGAAAGAAAGACTCATGGGCAATTAGGTAAGAGATTTTCATGAAGTCAATTTTTAAGAACCCATTTTTTTTTTTTTTTAAAGAAGGTATATTGATTGCACTTCCAGAATAGGTGATGATTGTAATTTTTTTGTTACCTAAGGAATGAATCCATGCTAACTAAAGACAATATTATGTAAGCATATAAAAGCACCTGTGGTTTTGTCTGCAAAATAGAGTCAATGTTACTTTAAAAGGATATTATAGGGTTTAACCTACTGGTATTGAGATATCTAATGGCTTCAGACTATATTAAGTATTGCTAGCAAAAAGCTATAGTGTGGTAAGCATTATTACTGTAATGAAGAATGAACGGTGCTTTCTTTTCATCTCTATTGCTCTGAAGGATGAGATATTAGTTTTCTTTCAAAAAAAAAAAGGCTTCTATCTTAATCACAGAAATGCAAAGATGTCTGTAGAAATGAGTATTTTTCATTAGATTGCTGGGTGCTTCCCACAAAATTGAATTTTTTATGGTAAGTGAGGAAGGGTAAATGGGTACTGACTAGGCCACTGGCATTGTTTGTTACAATTATATGCCAGGCTCTGGGATTAGCATATATCGTTTCATTTAATCTGTAAAACCCTGTATATTTGGTTCTATCATAATCTTCATTGAACAGATTAGAAATTGTAAAATAAAAGAATTTAATTGACTTGTCTCTAAATAAAATAGCTGGTAAGACTTTCTGAATGACGACAGCTGCAGTGGGAATCGTAAAGTGCAAATGGATGAATACAACATACATTTAGGTGTGAGAACTAAACAGCCTTGGTGATCGATTGGATATGGGTTTGAGTAGATTTAGGGCCAGGAGTTATTTAGGATGGCTCCATGGTTTCTGGCTTGCAAATCACATATAGAGTTGTTCCATTCCCTGAGATAGGGTATATGTGGGAATATATGTGGGAGAGGAGATTATGAGTTTGAGCTTAGGCATGCTGTTTGAGATGAGTGTGAGATATGCCAGGAAAGAGATTTAACAGGCTGCTGATTATGAGGATTAGGAGGCTTAGAAGATAGGAATGGATTGATGATAAAGCTTTTGGGGTCATCAGTTACAAATTAATTATTAAAGGCATGGATGGGTGTATAATATTTCTCAAGGACAATGTGTAGGATAGAAGATAAAATGGCTATATGTGACACCCAGGGGAACAACGGCCTTGAAGGGGAGGGCAGAGAGAGAAACTTACAGAAGGGACTTGATAGGGGTGCCTAGAAGTGAAAAATCCTCAGGATACACACAGTTTCATTTTAGAGTTTAGTGATGCCATTTCTTTGTGAAATAGCTGTTACAAGATTGCTCCTCCTCTGCATCTCCCCTCTGTCCTTATTGTGTTGAATGGTACATTTTGCATTTCCATTGTGAGAAGAAGATACAAAACCATTTCGTTTAAACTGCCAGTGCATGTTGTATGACTGACATGGGTATTTGTATACTTGTTTCAAAAATTATAGGCAAGTTTTGGCAGAAATACTGGTGAAATCTTCAAAATGACAAACGCTTATCCTTTACAACATCCTGAGGCTGGAGACAGGGGAGATAGGGCCTATTATAGTTTTTTCTTCAACTACAACTTTTATTTCAGGAGTCATTCATAATTACAGATGATAGTGACTTTGAAAGGTCTATACACATGTATACCTCACCAAAATGTAACTCAAATAGTCTAAGTAGGAGTATTCATGTAAAACAAAAGTATCTTGGTGAACAGACATTTTTTATCATGGAAGTTTATATTGTTTACACAAAACTGCTCAAATAACATACCTATGACTAGGAAAAAGTAACTTATGTTTCTGGAGACATTTCATGATTATACAGTTGTGTTAGCTTTTTTTTTTTTTCATTTTTACAAGTATACACTGTAACAACCATAAATATTTGATTAACAGGAGTGTCAACAGACTGAAAGAACCCTTATAAAAATAACACTATAGTTATGCCAAATGAATTTAGTTGAGCTATATAAACCAGGAATGAAGTTCTCTCTCAATTTTAATATTTCTCTCAATTTTAATTTTAATATTAAAATTTAAATTTTAAATTTTCTGGTTTTTCTCTCAATTTTAATATTCTTATCTCAAAAGAATATTTCAAAAGGTACCTAGTAGTCATAGGCATGTTCAGAATTAAATTAGAAATGTTAAAGATTTTTTTTAGCTGGGCATGGTGGCATGCCTGTAATACCAGCTACTCGGGAGGCTGAAGCAGAAGGAGAATCACTTGAACTCAGGAGGCGGAGGTTTGAGTGAGCTGAGATCATGCCATTGCACTCCAGCCTGGGCAACAGGAGTGAAACTGTCTTTCAAAAACAAACAAACAAACAAACAAACAAAAAAAGAATTTTTTTGGAATAGTAGTGACAATATATTTAAAGTAGTTGTTCAATAAAATAATAATAAAAACGCAAATTTTTTGTAGATTCTAGTTTCAAATATGGAGTAGAACCTGTTCAGTTCTTAGCATCAGACCAAAATTAGTTTTCTTATTTCAAGCAAAAGAAGAATAAAGCATAAAATATTTGGAGTACTGCAAAACTCCAGGGTATTCTAGATTCCATGGCAAACCTAATCTGTATTCCTTGAGATCAATTTGCAGTACTAAAATTTTTAGAGTATCCTATTTATTTCTGTTTTTTTTTTTTTTTTCTAATCTATGATTGGTAAATTGACCATCTAAAATAATTCAAAACATCTTCAAAGAGCCTTCCCAAAGGCTTTCTTACATATCTTCTAATCTTATACTTCTTTGTAGTTTCTGTCTATATTTTGTATTAATTATAAGGCAGGTTGCTTTTTTGCCTTTTTACTAAATAAATATGTTCTTGATTTTATTTGTATAATGCTTCATATCACATAATTTTTAGAATTTCATGATCATAATGCCTTGGTTTAAGAATATATTAATTTTACTTAGATTTAAACATATAGCCATTTAAGGAATTTTTTTTTTTTAAATAAAACCATTTCTTTGTTCTTTTACTTGTTGATCTCACTATATGTCAGCAATAATTTTTCATGGGGGGGATAGGCTCGTTATTTTCTACATCTTAAAATCTGATTTTTTTATTTGTTGTAGGTTTTATTGGGATTTAATAATGCTTATAATGATGGTTGGAAATCTAGTCATCATACCAGTTGGAATCACATTCTTTACAGAGCAAACAACAACACCATGGATTATTTTCAATGTGGCATCAGATACAGTTTTCCTGCTGGACCTGATCATGAATTTTAGGACTGGAACTGTCAACGAAGACAGTTCTGAAATCATCCTGGACCCCAAAGTGATCAAGATGAATTATTTAAAAAGCTGGTTTGTGGTTGACTTCATCTCATCCATCCCAGTGGATTATATCTTTCTTATTGTAGAAAAAGGAATGGATTCAGAAGTTTACAAGACAGCCAGGGCACTTCGCATTGTGAGGTTTACAAAAATTCTCAGTCTCTTGCGTTTATTACGACTTTCAAGGTTAATTAGATACATACATCAATGGGAAGAGGTAAGATGCATCTTTTTCTTTTTTAAAATCTATATCAGAAAATTGTTAATTATGGCTGTTTTACAATGAACAATTACTGTGCTATGCGTAATGAGTTTTATGAAATTCAAGTAGAAAAATGTATTTGACTCCTCTTTTCCATGCATAAGTGATATATTGTATTCATAAAATACATGATCAAATAATGGATTTGAATGAACTAAAAAAATAGCGATCATTTTATGCCAATTTATTATTCTTTAAAATAAATACACTTTAATCAACAATTATTATCCTGATCAATACAACCCCTCTCCCACTTTGGTTTTTTTAAAACCTAATATAAATACATCAAGTACCGTCTTGTTTTTTTTTTTTTTGAGGCGAAGTCTCGCTCTGTCGCCCAGGCTGGATCTCGGCTCACTGCAAGCTCCGCCGCCGCCCAGGTTCACACCATTCTCCTGCCTCAGCCTCCAGAGAAGCTGGGACTACAGGCGCCCGCCACCACACCTGGCTAATTTTTTTTTTTTTTTTTTTTTTTGTATTTTTAGTAGAGAGGGGGTTTCACCGTGTTTGCCAGGATGGTCTCGATCTCCTGACCTCGTGATCCGCCCACCTCTGCCTCCCAAAGTGCTGGGATTACAGGCGTGAGCCACCGCGCCCGACCTGGTACCGTCTTTGATAAAGATGTGTAGGGTCTGATTGCTAATCTGGCACATCGTTAGCTCTATGAGATAGTGTGGTTTTTTGTCTCCTCTAATATTGAAGTTTCATTGAATTCATGCTGGGGTAAAAGAGATTGTTTCTTTATTTCCAAGTTATATATATAATGGCTTTGATTTTAGCGTATTAATTTTGCTCATTGTTATACCTTGCCTATAGTAACTTATTATAATTTCTCCCTATTAGTTCATTTCATAATACTAAAAAAGAACATATTCAAGAGGGACGTTAGTACATAGAAAACACAAAGAGTATAGTGAATAAATGGAGTGAATCTGACCAATCATGGCCCATATTTTGCTGAATAGGGCATATGTTGTTGTTAGACAGTGGGTGAGACCGGAGAGGACTCAGCCGACTGGAGTTTCCAAAGATCTGACTTAAACCATCATCAAGAAAAGGAGTTTATATCCCTGTCTTCAAAGTATGCATATTAACCATTTTGACTTCCTTTTCTTCCTAAGTCTTTTTCTATTAATTATAACCTGAATTTTATTGTCTGCATAAACATAAGAGTCCAAAAGACTTACAGAATACCTAAACCAACACTAATGAGAGTCATATGAAGTCATATACTGGCTATAGATTATTGCTTTGTCCCCTGCAGAAATACTTTTTAGCATTTTTAAGATAAATTATGCTTTTAAATATGTCATAAAATGGAAGTTCTGTTTGATTTCTGTGAGGCGGTAGCAGTGTTTTTGTGTGTGCTTGACAGTGACATTTTGGTTCACAGGATTTCAGGAAATGACATGCAATAATAAAACACTGCATAACGCACTGATAAAAAGGCATAAAAATGGATCATTCTTAAATATAGATATGGGATATATTTAAAATCAAATGAAGCACATTTGAGAAATCAGATTCATCTTGTAATTTTTCTCTACATAGCACATTCCATCTAAAATGGAAGAAATGTTCAGTTCTCAAAGCTTTTTAATGCTAATTTGAGATTAATACCAAACCAAGATGATTCTTGCTAGTAATTGCAATATTTATTGAAGGCTTATTACATGTCAACTAGTATGTTCTTTACATATATTAGCTCACTGAATCTTCCTAACAACACAATGATGTAAATATAATTATTGTCATCATTTTACAGATGAGAACAATTAAATACAATAAGGTAACTTGTCCAGATTCATAGAACTAGTAAGAAGTGGAGCTGGGATTCCAAACTTGGCAATCAGACTTACCAGCCAGTGTTCTTAACTGCAAAACTATATCGGTTCTTACTATGACATATACTGCTTTTGTTATAAATATCTTAATATTCTACCATTTTATAGACTGTCTAAGAAATTATAGGGAACTTTTCTTAAATAAGACTGTGGGCCATGCAATGCAACAGAGTTGAATAGTACCTCTTGAAACAAGGCCACAGAAAAATATTTTAACAAATATCCTGTGAGAGGAAAGTCACTGATATAAATATCCAGTCAATTAAAAATACAGTAGCAATGTGACTATTTTTAATATCTTGTGGTTTTAGCCCAGTTACTAGAGAATGGCAGCAGGATAAACAGATGGCATCCTATCACATAAAATGGCAGGCTATGTGGTCATGGAAGAGTATACTCCTTAACACCAATGTCCTTTGGCTTCTGGCAGTAATCACAGGCACCTAGATCTGTGTAACATGCTGTGTTTTAAAGATGCCGTGATAAAATTTAGGAACACCAGCTCACTGCTATCATTATTGTAAAATGCAATTTAATATGCACTTACAGACATTTGGTAACCAAGCACATTCAGGCTAGAGTTGTGAGTTGGCAACATGTTTCTTATAAATAAATGAGCTTGGTAATAAATGAACCATAAGCCCATTTAGGTGAAGAATGTTTTCTTGATTATATGATACCCCATACAATATCATATATCTTGGGTATTTAATGCCCATTAGTAATCCTGTTCAACAGGGAAGAAACAGAGTCATAATCCAGAATGTAATACAAATTCATCTTTCCATCACCTACATGTTTCTAACCATAATCACCAAGAAATTTGAATGATTCCAAAACTGGAAATCTCTCTACCTGATTTTTGTAAATGCCACCAGGATGTATTTACAAGTAGAAATACAACAAATAAATCAGAAAAAGTAGCTCTTTGAGCTTTTGCAATAAGAATGCAGAGGAAGATGTGAGTTCACCCACATGTCTTTGGTTCTGAGTGTTTTAGTACCAAGCTGGCTAATGCTAAATTCAGCAAATTTGGGGAAGTAATGTGTGAAGTCTGGAAGCTGCCACTGTTCTAAATGAATCATTCCTGAGGAAAGCTGCTGCCTTCTATAGGAAGCTGCTTCCATCTTCAACAATACATTTTTTTTTTTTCTGGACTGAATTAGTTCAACTGAAAAACAAGAAGAAGCTCTGATGCCAAATAAATTAGAAAAATATTATGAATCAGATACAGAAGCTTTAAAATTTTGTGCTTATGTTATTATCATTACTAAAGCTGAATTAGTGGTTAATACAGGAGGAAATAGCTGATTTGAGCAACTAATTTATGAAACACATGGTGTTAAGAAGTGAGGAGGGAAGTTGTTTTCGTGAGTCAGTTATAAGATCAATAGATTTGGGATGTAAAAATAGCTTTCTGTGACATTACACTGAAACTTTGTATATATTGCCAGGTGAGATAAAAATCAGAGACAATTTAGATAAATCAAGCCAGAAATTTCTTTTCATGTAGTAGCTAGAAAACTGAGGTGAATCTTTCCCATTTTTACATTTGGGTTTAAAAAACTATTATTTGAGTCAGCATTGTCGTTGTTGTTATTATTAAATATAATAAATAAGACAGTTATCCAAGCCAGACTGCTATTTCATAACCTATCACAAGGGGAACAAATTCAGTGTGATCCTCCTAAAAGAGACATACGGTGAGGAAATCCCTGGAAATTAAATGGAATATGTGACAATCACAAGCCACTGAAGAGATAAAGAGAGATTAAGAGCTTAGCGAATAGGAGATTATTCAGTGTGTAAAGGTGAAGAGTTCCTTTACAGCTGCTGATCTCAGTCATTTTATCGACAGGAGATGACCTTCGAAATTTTTTAGAGGTTTAGGAAATATTAATTGCAAATAGAAATGCTACTCTGTAATGATTATCTCTTTGTAAGACGTAACGTCATAGATAAAGCATAAATTATTCTTAATTTTAGAAAGTGGGAAATGCATCATTATATAATAACTATGGCTTTGGAATATATAGCTTTAAGATTTTACTTTTTATTCATCATTTCCCATCTCCCCAATCTCCCTTGTATAGAACTGGGACATAATACAATTAATTAAATACATTTTGGGACAGGAAAGAAGGCCTATGGTTTTGATCTTACATATCTATCGCAATTTCAGATGAATAATGTGTCTTGAACATTTCAATGCTTGTCTTGAAACCAATATTAGATTTTTATACTGGCTTAGAGATAGTTTTATATACAAATTATGTATACCAACAGAACAGTGATAAGGAAATTTATTCCATAGGGAGCTAATGCAGATTACAGTTTCTGTCTTTGGTTAATTTTAGCATTCAAATTGGTGTAGAGTAGAAACTAACTCTTACTATAAATTGCCTATCTATAATTATACAATGCATATTCTAATTACTTTTATATTTTAAAAAACACATAGGATTCTAAGACTTGCCATAAGCAAACAGCAGAATTTTCCCAAACCTGCCCTGTACCAGAACTTAGAGAACCTCCATATTGCTTATCACATCAAATCTGTGTTTCCTTGCTGTGCCTTCAAAGCTCTCCAGCACATTCTTCCCTGGTCTTACCATCGTCACTTCATATTTGCACCCAACTCTTTCCTGTTTGTTTTTGTTTCAGTTTTACAGTGCTGCTTGCAGGAAATGATTCTTTCTGCTTCTATAATTTTATTCCTGCTACATCTCTGATTTGGAAAGCCTTTTTTTTTTCTATCACTCCTTTAAAAATCAGACTTAAGGCCAGATGCAGTGGATCACCTGAGGTCAGGAGTTTGAGGCCAGCCTGGCCAACATGGTGAAACCCTGTGTCTACTAAAAAAAATATATGTATACACACACACACATATATATAAATTAACCAGGCATGGTGGTGGGCGCCTGTAATCCCATCTTCTCAGGAGGCTGAGGCAGGAGAACAGCTTGAACCCAGGAGGCGGAGGTTGCAGTGAGCTACGATCGTGCCA